TCAGATTTTATTTAAATCAAGTCAATGAAAATTGCGTGGCATACATTTCTAGCTCACTGTTTTAAGGGCGTGTGCAAAAATGTTGATGTTGACACGTCGCACGTTTTTGGTCATAATGTCGGAAATAAACATCTCCAAAAGCCAGAACTTTCAATGTATTTTCTCCATCTCTCGAGCAAATAAAAACAATTAGAAAGTGTAAGACTTTCGACCAAGAATTCGGATTAAGCTTCAATCGAAAGGTTTTTCTCTTTTTTCTAGAGTTCAATATGTCGGGCCCACTGGTTTAAAACTATTTCTTGAAAAACCGGGGACGTGCCCAGAGCGGAAATCTACCTAAATTAAAATCTTATGTAATTCTAAAAAGAATAGAATTGTAATTTCGCCTTTGAAAATTGCGTGGATATCTCAAATCAACGTACAAAGACGTGCGAATTTTAGTAAAAATTTCCACCTTCGAGTAGAATAATTTAATCACAGCTCGTATTTATGCCGAAACAAGTTCTTAAACTTACCCTAAATTGGACTATTTTTCCACAGTTTCATCTACATACAAAACGTCTTCTTTCATTATTCATGGGAAGAGTAAAACACACGCAAATGAATACAAAAGAGACGACACCAGCTCTCAACATAGCCTTCGCCATGTTTATACTTACATCTTCAAAGTTTCCCGCCAGACACAGGTATACCGCGCGCCATGTATTCCAATCTCGTACCCAGAGCCGCCGTTCCTCTTGGTCAGGGCGCTGACCAAGGGGAACGGCGGCTCTGGGTACGAGATTGCATGTATTCTATTTGACCCACGCATGCGCAGACAAATGTCCCTGCTGTTGGTTGTTATTGGTTGTTAATTCTAGGTACAAAGTCATTACTTGGGCTTCCTGTGCAATGACCGCCAGTTACCCCCTTGGCTCCTAGCCGGCTCCCAGCATTCCAAGCAGGAGACCGTTACAGACTGAGGCAAAGAACGATAGATGGAGCAAGTCACTACTCCACGAAAAAAACGAAAAACGGTACGTACATAACTGTTAACTAGAAACAAATTTAATCTAACATAATAGATCATATATCATTACATAAATGGTGTCTAAGGAGTGTGCACGTCTATTAAACTAACTTATATCAAGCTTGTTTACCTTGACGAATGGCTCAGGTTAACTGAAAACCAGTTTATTAAGCTTACTAGGTCTTATCCGTTTGATAATAGAACGTATTCGCATAACCCACTTTTTAAATGCTAATGAGTTTTGCTAATATTCTAATGAGATTGACACAAGAAACAAAAGAGCAAAAACATGCTTGAGTGATTTCAAAATGGGAGAGTTGAAAACACTGACCCCCGGTCCACGGACCCCTCCATGGACCATGTCCACGGATCACCCATGAAAACATTGCAAATGCCAAATAATAGATTTGACAAGGATTATTTTGTATTTGCTCATCCAATAAAGGGTGTTAAGTTAATGATTTATCTTGTCATATCAATCTTGTCATGTTGTCGGTCGGCCGCATAGTAACGTCAGTCTTTTTTTTGGAACCACAATCACTCGTGCTTCGATCTTCAGCTTGCCGCATTATAGATTGAAAATTCAAACAGCTTGATTTATAGTGCGCAGATTTACATTTAAAGAGTAGGAAAATGCTATTGCATGGTATAATTTTTGAACTTTAGCCAATTTTCTTTCGACTGCTAACCGCTGACCACTCCTTTTTCACAAACACAGATGGTTGATGGAAATCTGCGCACTATAAATTTCTATAAAACGTTAATGTGAAGAAGCAAGAGGAATTGTGGTGCAAAAAAAATCAAATGAAAATATAAAGTGTAGAGGACTGACGTGACAAAGGTAAAATCATTAACTTAATTCGAAACCCCCGTCCCCAACTACCGGGACTAGCGGAGTATTAAATAGTGACATGCTTTTATCAGCAGGATTGCYCCGGGGGTCGGGATTTTGATGAATTGTTTTTGAAGCGGGGCATGTATGAAAATTTTTTAAAAGAAACTTATTACACAGTCCATAGCCTCAATGTAGTACGCAAATGATTATACAGGATTATACAAAAATTAACCCTGTGTATCACAGAAAATTTGACTGAAAGGTGCTTGTTTTGTTATTTACTACTAGACCAAAATAGCGGGACAAGTCTAGCGGGGATTTTAACAGCCGAGTCTTACCGGGGGAAACGTCTTATTTCAACGTCACTCAAACATTAAATTCGCGGTTTTTCCCGGGGGTCGGGAAGCGAGCGTTTCAATTGACTATATAGCATGCATAAAACCCTTTATTGGATGAGCAAATGCAAAATAATTCTTGTCAAATCTATTATTTGGCATTTGCAATGTTTTCATGGGTGGTCCGTGAAGGTGGTCCATGGAGGGGTCCGCGGACCGGGGGTCAGTGTTTTCAACTCTCCCTTTCAAAATATTACTATTTTAAGCTCAGTTCAATAAATACACAATTTCAAACGGAACCACCAATTTCAACAGTTATTGGCTACAAGATTGAAAAATTCCTTATTTTGAATGCCAACAGATCGTTTGTTTTAAGCGGTCCATAATGTTGATTTAAATTGTTTTAAATAAATTGGGCGCATGGGAAGAATTATAAAACATTCATTGCAGACTTCCACAACCCGTCAATACCAGAATCAAAACCAATTCTGGACAATGAGATCTGTTTCAGACGTCGATCTTTTGCCGCGTCTAATCTAATTACTTGCATGTAGTTTACGAGAAGTTGAGATAGCTGTATAGCTTAAATAAAAATGTTTCCTTTTGAAATTTTGCATTTATTGAACTGAGCTCAAAATAGTTTTGAAATAATATTCGCTACTGAAATCACTCAAGCATGTTTTTGCTCTTTTGTTTCTGGTGCCAATCTCATTAGAATATTAACAAACTCATTAGCATTTAAAAAGTGGGTTATGCGAAAAACGTTCTAAATTATAATTGGAAATACATTTCTATTCAATTGAAAATACAAGAGTAAACAAGGTTAATCATTACGATGGAAGTGCTCTAGCTGGTTTTAAGTTATTATGTAACTTTAATGTGCTTTGACGAAAGCTCATCAGTGATATAAGCTTAAAGTCTTATAATTAAAGTTAAGCTTAAAATAGCTGAACCAGAGAGCATTTCCTTCTTGTAAAACAAGTTTTTGGACAAAAATTAATAAGTGCAATTAAATTGTGCAGTAAAATAGTTAAGTTTACATATCGAAATTGTTGATTAGTTGTTTTAATAAGTTTTAAAATAGTATTACTGAGTAAAGGAGTTATCATTATTTTTATTTGCCACAATTTTTAAGAAAACTTAAGAAAACGAACAAGAATAAGGCCTGAGCCTGTGTTTATTTTCGAAGAGATCATATATAGAAAAACAAAAGTATTAAATGTAAGCCAACAGTATCTGAGCTGGAAAATAAGGAAAAAATGTAAGCCCTGTAAATACAGTGTAGCATAACCCAAAAATACAATCAGTGTCTCTGTGAATAGTTTCTAATCATTTATGAATGACCTCCATTCCTACATAGAAAACAAATATAAGACAAGTCTGAATTATGTAATGCAACTGTAGCTTAGCAGCCATGTCTGATCTAAATATTGCCAACACTATTCTAAAAGTCATTTATTGAAACTTGCCTGACGAGTGTGATCATCTTTGTGTATTTGTTGATCATACAAAACCAACTATTCGCAACAAATCAATGATATTTCCAACAGTCTCCAGGAGTTGGGCACAGCTGGAATCAAAGAAAAAAATATCTTGTACACCAAAGTTTCAGAAACAAATGCTGTGCAAAATTGAAATTGCAAAGTTCACTTCGAAGATGTAAATTTGATAAAATTGCATCAATAACATAGACTGGTTCTGAACACGTTTTCTAACCTTATTTTCACCCACAATGAATTCTGGGAAAATGACATACACGGCGAAAGCAACGTTTCCTTCCATTCTCAAACCGAATTTTATATTAAGTCTAGAGCCTTCTCAGAATTCTGCCAAAATTTTGAGTGGTTGGAATTTTCACTAGCCAAAAGT